GTCATCTGTGTATTTTCTTTGGGGAGGTGCCTATTCAGGCTTTTTGCCCATTTTTCAATTGAGTTATTCATTTTTTACTGTTAAATATTAAAAGTTCTTTGTATATTTTGGATAACAGTCCTTTATCAGATGTGTTTTTTGCAGATATTTTCTCCCAGTCTGTGCTTTTTCTTCTCAATCCCTTGACAGTGTGTTTTGCAAAATAGAAGTTTTTAATTTAATAAAGTTCAGCTTATCAATTATTTCTTTCATGGATTATGCCTTTGGTGTTTTATCTAAAAAGTTGTTGCCATATCTAACGTCATTTAGGTTTTCTCTTACGTTATCTTCTAGGATTTTATGGTTTTGCATTTTACATTTAGGTCTATGACCCATTTTTAGTTAATTTTTGTGATGGGTGTAAGGTCTGTGTCTAGATTCTTTTTTTTGTTTTTTTGCATGTGAATGTCCAGTTGTCTCAGCACCATTTGCATTGTTGCCTCTGCTCGTTTGTCAAAGATCAGTTGATTATATTTATGTGGGTCTATTTCTGGATTCTCCGTTCTATTCCATTGATATATTTATCTATTCCTTTGCCACTATTACACTATCTTGATTACTGTAGCTTTATAGTAGGTCTTGAAGTTGGGTAGTGTCAGTTCTCTAAGTTTGTTCACCTCCTCCAGTGTTGGGCTGCTATTCTGGGTCTTTTGCCTTTCCTTATGAACTTTAGAATCAATTTGTCAATATCCATAAAACATCCTGTTAGGATTTTTATTGGGATTTCACTGAATTGATATATCAGGTTGAGAAAAACTAACATCTTGACAATATTGAGTCATCATATTCGTCAACATGTAATACCTCTTCATTTATTTAGTTCCCCTTTGATTTCTTTCATCAGAGTTTTGTAGTTTTCCTCACATAGATCTTGTATATATTTTGTTAAATTTAATACCTAAGTAATTCATTTTGGGGGGGCTAATATAAATGGCAATGTGTTTTAAATTTCAAATTTCTACTTCCTCATTTCTTGTATATAGAAAAGTGATTGACTTTTGTGTATTAACTTTGAATCCTGCAACCTTACTATAATCGCTTACTAGTTACAGAAGTTTTTTGTTTTTTGGTCAATTCAAATTTTCTACATATACAAGTGTATATCAAAAAGTCCATGGAGGGCCAGCCCGGTGACGCACTGGATAGTGCGCCGCTTGGGAAGCGCGGCGGCGCTCCCGCCCAAGGATTCGGATCCCACATACAGACCGGTTCCCGCTCACTGGCTGAGCAAGGCGCGGGAGCAGCACGGAGGGTTGCGATCCCGTTGCCGGTCCCCAGTCCGGTACGGGGGCAACACTGAGGGTTACAATCCGTTGCCGGACACGGAAAAAGACAAAAGACAAAAAAATAAAAAAAAGTCCATGGAAAGATTTGTATCATTTTTTAATTCTATTTTTTCACAAACTTTTTGACGTACTCTTATGCAATTATATCATCTTTGAAAAAAGAGAGTTTTATTTCTTCCTTGGCACTCTGTATATCTTTTATTTCCTATTCTTGTTTTATTGCACCAGCTAGGCCTTTCAGTACAATGTTGAAAAGCAGTGGTGAGAAGTGACATCCTTGGCTTGTTCCTGATTTCCTGATCTTAGTGGGAAAGATTTGAGTTTATCATCATTAAGCATGATGTTGACTGTAAGTTTTTCATACACATTCTTTATGAAGTTGAGGAAATTACCCTTTATTCCCAATTTGCTGAGAGTTTTTAATCATGAATTGGTGTTGGATTTTGTGAAATGCTTTTCCTGTATCTATTAATATGATCATATGATTTTTCTTCTTTAGCACATTGATATGATGGATTAGATTAATTGATTTCAAATGCTGAATGAGCCTTGCCTATCTGGGATAAATTCCACTTGCTCATGATGTTGGACTTGATTTGTTAATATTTTGTTAAGGATTTTTGCATCTTTGTTCATGAAAGCTATGTGTCTATAATTTTCTTTTCTTGCAATGTGTTTGTCTGGTTTTGGTATTAGTGTAATGACCTCAGAATGAGTTAGTATTCTTTCTGAAGAAGTTATAAATAAATGGTATAATTTCTTTTTTAATTGTTTAGTAGAATTCACCAGTGAAACCTGATGCTTTCTGTTTTAGAATGTTATTAATTATTGGTTCAATATCTTTAATAGTTATAGATGTATTTAGTTTATTCTTGCGTGAGTTTTGGAAGATTGTGTTTTTTCAAGGAATTGGTCCAATTTATTTAGATTATCAAATTTGTGATGGTAAAGTTGTTAATAATATTCCTTTATTATCCTTTTAATGTTCATGGGATCTATAGTGACATCCCCAGTCTGATAATTTAGTTCCTATTTTGATAATTCTGGCATTCCTGCCATATCTGACTCTGGTTCTGATTTTTGATGTCTCCTTAAATTGCATTTTTTGCCTTTCAGTATACTGTGTAATTTTTTTTTTTAAAGTGACATGATGTACTGGGTAAAATTAACTGCAGTAAATAAGCCCTTAGTTAAGTAGACATAAGGGGTGGGTATTGTGAACTGTTCCATAGTTCTGTAATTTGGCCTCAGTTTTTGGTGATCCTGTGCCCTTGGACTGTGAACTTCACTACTGCTTCTCAGTCCTCCCGACCCCTCAGATGGGACAGGATGGCTGGAGGAGGCTGAAGTTGTGCATTTTCCTTTCCCCAGGTAGGTTAGGCTCTGGCAAAATGGTTTCTCTTGAGGGCAGACCTTATTGAGAAGAACAGAATTCTCAGGCATATTTCAAAATGGTTCCTTTTTCCCTTCCCCTTTTGGAAGCCTGGAAGGATTTTTCTCTAACATTCACTGTGAGGACCTGTTAGAGCTCTGGGAAGTAAATTCATAAAAGTGTGGAGGCCCTGATGACTTGGTCCCCCTAAAGTTTTTATCTTTCAGGCTTGCTCACACTGAGCCTCCAGCAATTCATCAACTACAGTTCATGTTCTCCTTGGCCAGTACTGGCTCCTGCAGTGGCTGCTGCTCATGGGTTTCTGCTCCATTAAGCTGTGATTCTCTGTATCTGCTCACTGCCTTTCCAGCTTTGGTGGTAACTGTTTGCCCCGTGACCTCACTTCTCTGATGGATTTAAGAAGATTTGATTTTTCAGTTTGTTCAGTTTTTTACTTGTTGTTAGGATTGAATGAAAACTCATTAGCTCCTTACATGTGGGCTGGAAACTGGAGGTTTAATTTTACCATTATTTTTATGCCAAATTAATTATTTTTTATTATCATTTTTTAATGCTTCCAATTTTTATTTATACTTATTCACATATCTAATATCTACTAGTATATGTACACACTACATATTCCTGAGTATAAAGACCTTCCTCCTTGTTCATTATCCTTCTTTCTTCACTGATTTAAAAATTTTTTTAGTGACACTCTCCTTGTAGTAAATATTACAATTTTTTCTTTGTGTTTATTCTTCTCATGCTACCTCTAAAGTATTGAATTACAGATTGAAAAATGTCTTTAGACGATTAAGTTCTGCTTCACATTATCTTGCTGATCATTATTAGGTGATTATTTTCTCCTGAGCCTTTGAAGTTACTACTTCAGTGTCTTCTGGCTGCTACTGTTACTGATGAAGAGTCCCCAGTTAGTCTAATTTTCATGCCATCATAGGTAACTATCTACTATTATTGGCTAACTTAAATGTTTTCTCTCTCCCAGGGACTAGGCTGAGACAGAAAATTTTCCTTCTCATCTCCCTTGGATGGCAAGAGGATATTTTTAAAACTTTTATTCCACTGAGGTTGAAGGCAGGGGATTTTGCATTATGAGTAGGTAGATGGGGGGAGAGTGTGGGAGTTTCAGTTTCCACTCTCCATCTTGCACAGCCCCAAGCCCTCATCTTCGGTGCCTCCACAGCTATGAAAACACAGGTCCTCAATTGTAGAGTTTGGCAAATGTCTCCAGACAGTTGCCATTCTGCTTCAGCTTATTTTCCCAATTACCAGCTCTCACATCATCTTCAGCCAGTGGAAATTTCTTTTATGACATGAAAGCTCACTTCTGCCTTCTGAACATTTAAAAAATATCTAAACTAGCTGTTTATCCAAGTATTTTGTTGAAAATGTTTTAGGATATTTCTTGTTCACAATATTGCTTAAATTGGAAGCCTGCCTTCATTTTATTTATTTTTCCTTTTTTTTTTTTCAGTGGCTGGACAGTGCAGGGATTGAACCCTGGACCTTGGTGTCATCAGCACTACTTTTCTGTATTCTCACAGTCAAACCTACTCATTAACTTTTTGTTAAATGAAATGACTTCTCAATATTCCTTTTATTTATGTATTACTTTGCTTGCTCTCACATGACTGACATAATATAAACATTTTGTTAACATATTTCAATAGATATCTTATTTATATATGATTCTAAAATGTATTCTTTTGTTAGGTCTGTACAGTACCTAAAGTATAAGTAATGACCCAAAGTGGATTATTTCTCATGTTGCTTTTAGGATTAAACTCTACACGAGACTTCCATTTCTGTGATTATATTGTTCAGATTAGGTGATTTTACATTGTCCTAATAAATTAACCCTGGAAATGTGGTGTGGTATCGCACAACATAGACTTATTTCTCACTTCCAGTATATTCTCTGTTATCCACATTATCTCAAAACCTAGGCTGGTTGGAGGCACCACTATATTATAGTTGTATCATGTTAAATGCATCACTGTGGAAGAGGAAGAGTGTGTTTCCCACTGGTAATTTAATCTGATCCCAAAGAGGCACACATTTCCTCTCACAACCCACTGTCATGCACGATTCACAGTGTCACTTAACTGCAAGGGAGCTGGGAAGTGTGGTCTCCAATGTGACCAGGAATAGAGACAAGAGTGAAATCTATGTTTTGACTTTTTAATAGGCTAACTATTGAAGTAAATAGATTAATAATGAGATCATTTAATGTATTCTAATATCCACTGGTTTTTATTTCAATAGCCAACATTCCAAAAAAGATGGAGACTGGAAACCGCACAATGGTGACAGAGTTTATTATTTTGGGGTTAACAAAGGATCCAACACTATGTTTCATCTTCGTTGTGGTTTTTCTGGGAATCTATGTTGGTACCATGTTGGGCAATATCAGCATAATCATGTTAATCCGAAGTTGCCCTCAGCTTCACACCCCAATGTACCTCTTCCTCAGCCATTTGGCCTTTGTGGACATTGGGTATTCCACGTCAGTCACACCTGTCATGATTGTGACTTTCCTAAGAGAGAGAACTACTATCCCTGTGGCTGGCTGCATAGCCCAGCTTGGCTCTGATGTCATCTTTGGGACTGCTGAGTGCTTCCTGCTGGCTGCCATGGCCTATGATCGCTATGTGGCTATCTGCTCCCCACTTCTTTACTCCACACACATGTCTCCCAGGGTCTGCGTCCTCCTATTGGTTGCTTCCTATGTGGGTGGATGTGTGAATGCTTCATCGTGTACTGGCTGTTTATTGAGCCTGAATTTCTGTGGACCAAATAAAGTCAACCATTTCTTCTGTGACCTCCCACCACTAGTGAAGCTTTCCTGTACCCATATCTACATGGCTGAAATCTCTCCTGCCATCTCAGCTGGGTCAATCATTGTAGTCACACTGTTTATCATAGTTGTTTCATACCTGTACATCCTCCACTCGATCCTGAACATGCGCTCTACAGAGGGAAGGCACAAGGCCTTCTCTACTTGCACATCCCACCTCACTGCGGTCACGTTGTTTTATGGGACAGTTACATTTGTTTATGTTATACCAGAGTCAATCCACTCACCTGACCATATTAAAGTGAAAGCTCACTTCTGCCTTCTGAACATTTAAAAAATATCAATGAGAAAATTGGTGACAATAACACATTTTTCATTTTAAAGAAATACAGTACGAATCCAGAAATTGCAAAATAATAGACTATGCACCTGCCCCTCAGGTATGCAACCTGCCACAGTTCTCTGCTCTCCTATGTGGATGGCAGTTCATTAAGGCTTTCTGGAATCCTCTATTTTTGGTTTATTGCATGTATAAGTATGGTTTGCATTTTTTTCTAGGGTTTTCTTGTTATCATGTGATCTAAGGTTTTTCACATCCTTCTAGATCCTAATTCAGAGATGCATGCTCCACTTTGATTAATTTATTAATATTAATTCAATTTAGAATTCCTGAAATAAATCCAACTTGGGTTGCTTTATTATACATTTTATTACCATTGAATTCGATTTGCTTATATTTTGTTTAGGATGTTTGCATCTATGTTTAGGAGAGTTTTGCCTGTCATTTTCCATTTTTGAAATGAAATTTTCAGGTTGGGGTATAAAAATGAAAAATAATTTGAAAAGGGTTTCTCTGTTGTCTTTCCTCAGAGGAACTTTTTACAAGATTAGTGATATTTATGCCCTAAATATTTTTAAGATATCAACATTGAAGCCATCTGGGCTTTCACTTTTGTGGAAAACTTTTTCACGGCAAGCCCCATTTTCTTTAATAGATAAAGAAACATTTAGTTTTCAATTTTTTCCTATGTCTGTTTTGATAAAGCATTTTTCATAATAGTTTAGCTGTTCATTTACATTTGAAAATTATATCTTCTTATTTTTATTTTCTGTAAGGTCTGTAATGTAACTTTTTCATTCCTTCATGTATCTCTATATTTGCACTAATTAGTATTATTAGAGGTTTATCAATTTTATTAGCATTTTCAAAGAATAAAATGTTTGATTTATGCTTTTGTGTACTCTTCAATAATGTTCTGTTTCACAAATTTTTATTCAATGTTGTTATTTTTCTATATTTCTTTGGGTTTAATTTAGTGTTCTTTATCTAAATTCTTGAGATGGAAACTTAGATCACTGTTTTCAGCCTTTATTTTGCAATATATCATGTAAAAGATAACATATTTTCTCTTTCTTTGCAATATACCATGGAAAAAATGGGTATAAATTTCCTTACAGTTGTTACTTTAGCTGTGTCCAATAAAATTTAATGTGTTGTATTTTAGTTATATAATTGAACACATCTGATTTATACCATGTTCTTTTTTGACTTTTGTATTATTTATGAATGCGTTGCTTGTTTTCCAAGATGATGGAAATGTTTAAGTTATATTTTTGCCAGAGGACCTACTCTGAAAGATTTAAATAACTAAAAAATTTGACTGTTGATTTGTGGTCCTGTATATGGTTAATTTTTCTAAATGTTTTATGTGTAATTATAACAAGCATATTTTGGAGATATTTGCTATAGTATTACATACATTTCAATGAGATTAAATTGATGTCGTTTGTAAATCTTCTATATCCTTACTGATTTTTTGACTACTTTCTCTGTCAATCATTGGGGTTTGTGAAAGCCTGCCATTTTTATTGTTTTCATAAAATTTGTCTTTAATTCTATCAGTTTTTATCTTTTCTACATTTTGAAGCTTCATGGCTTTGTAAAAATGAATTTAGATATGTTATGCCTTCCTGAATAATTAGGCATTTTTATCAGTGTTAATACCCCCTTCATCTCTATGAACATATTGCCTTATAAGCCATTTTGTTTCTTATATTGCATATATTTTCTAATAATTTATTTTAAATTTTTATGTGTTACATACACACACATCTATCTATCTATCTGTCTGTCTGTCTGTCTATTTATCATGTCAGATGGCTTCAATGTGATACCTAGAAAGAATATTTATATAAAATACCACACGAAATTATTGCTTCATGTAGTTATATATTTGAGTCTTCATTTCTTGTTGCTTTTTGATATTTCCTATACGAAGACTTTCTTTCTGTCTGAAAAACTTTCTGAACTATTTCCTTTCGTGCAGCTGTGCTGGCCACAAATTCTCATGTTAATTTGTCTCAAAATGTCTCGATTTTGCATTTATTTTTCAGAATATCTTTGCTTGGCATAAAATTGAAAGTTGGAAGGTTTTTCTTCTAGCAGATTAACTTTATAGTTTCATTGTTTTCTGGTTTCTACGGATTCTTTTCAGAAATCAGCTGCTAGTATTACTGTTACTCTTTTGAAAGTGATATATTTTTTCTCCTGTGGTTGCTTTTAAGTTTTTTCTTTGTCATTAGTTTTTAATAGTTTGACTAAAATGTAAGTTTGGGTTTCTTTGTGTTTATCCTATCTGGTTTTAGTGGTGTTTCTTGAATCTATGAGTTAATTTCTTTTAATTCCCCTAAACTTTTTCTTTCTAAATTCACACACACACACACACACACACACACAAACATGCACACATATGTACCATTTTTTCCTATCATTTCCTTTTTGAGCTCTAATTGCATAATTTGGTAGAGTTTTAAACAAATTTACATATATCTCTTATGTTCTTTTTTTTACATCCTCTTTTCTCTCCATTTCTGTGTACAGATTTTCTACTGACCTTTGTTCTAATTTTCTGATCTTCTCTTTCTTGTGTCTCATCTGCCGTTCAATTTATCTATTGAGTTCTCAACTTCAGTTGAGTTTTTCAGTCCTAAAATTTCCATTTCATTCTTTTTGTTGTTGTTGTAGATTTGACTTCTCTGCTGATACTTTGAGAAGTCTCAATTAAATGCTTGATGTTTTTTACTAGGACCTCTCTTCTTTGATAGCTTCTAAAATTTAACTTTTGTATCCTTAACTTCATGAAACTGCTTATATCTCTACTCACCTATTTAGCCTCATAGATGCTGTTTTTCAATTTTCTCAGCCTTTCACCTTGTGCAGCTTCAGATCTGCAAATGCCTTAAAGACAAAAAGACTTACATCCCTGTGATTTCCATTTCTCTAGGATCTTGCTTACTCACCTTTTTCCATCCCTTATATTATTAAACTCTAATGTCTTGTTTACTCACCTTTTCCATTCCTTATATTATTAAACTCTAATTTTTATCTTCCTGCCTCATGAGAACAACTCAGAGCCTTCACTTTCTGCTTGGTCTCTCAAACTGAAGTTGATTATTTATTGAAAAAGCCTTTGAGAAGAAACACAACATAGAATCTCAAGTTTACCACAATCTGTTTTGTCTTTTTTCACAATCTTGGCCCCTCAAGTCCTGGTTGCTCTAATCCCTTCAAACAGGTATTGTTTTTAATTTTACCAAGCATGTATGTTTTCTTGGCAGAAGTGTTGTTCTGATAAAAGCTACTCCATTATAGCATTTTCTATTTGTTTTGACAAATAGAAAAAACTTTGGCAAACATGATTAAAAAGAGTAGAGAAAACAAACTATGAAAATGAGCAACAAATGATATAGAAGTTCTTAAATTCATTTTGATCTAATGCATAATTTTGCAACCATAAAAAAACTATGAGAAATGTTTGATGTTCTATTATAATGTAAATTAACAAACTTTATCTAAGAATTGATAGAAAACTGATGACATCAAGAAATTTTTGGATGTGTGTGTGTGTGTTACAATCTACACAAGGATTTACAGTGTAGGAGGAATATATCATCTCTGCATTGCTAACTAGCCATTATTTTTAAATTTATTTTTTGAACTGAAACCTAATTGATTATACATATTCATGGAGTACAGAGTTGACTATGAATATCTGTGTAGAACATGTGATGATCAAACCATTTTATTAGCATGCTCATCATTACAAATAATAATTATTCTTTGTGTCCCTTACCCATTTATTCCCTAATCACCCTCTCCCTCCCGCTTTCCCATCTCTAGTAACTCTAGGTCTGTTTTTTCCTTCTGAAAGTTCAACATTTTATTGTGGTCTTCCTTCCTCCTTCCTTCCTTCCTTTCTCCCTCCTTCTTTCCTTCCTTCCTTCTTTCCTTCCTTCCTTCCTTTCTCCTTCCTTCCTTCCTTTCTCCTTCCTTCCTTCCTTCCTTCCTTTCTCCTTCCTTCTTTTCTCCTTCCTTCTTTCCTTCCTTCCTTTCTCCTTCCTTCCTTCCTTCCTTCCTTCCTCCTTCCTTCCTTCCTTTTTCCTTCCTTCCTTCCTTTCTCCTTCCTTCCTTTCTTCCTTTCTCCTTCCTTCCTTCCTTCCTTTCTCCTTCCTTCCTTCCTTCCTTTCTCCTTCCTTCCTTCCTTCCTTTCTCCTTCCTTCCTTCCTTCCTTTCTTTCTCCTTCCTTCCTTCCTTTCTCCTTCCTTCTTTCCTTCCTTCCTTTCTCCTTTCTCCTTCCTTCCTTCCTTTCTCCTTCCTTCCTTCCTTTCTCCTTCCTTCCTTCCTTTCTCCTTCCTTCCTTTCTTCCTTTCTCCTTCCTTCCTTCCTTTCTCCTTCCTTCCTTCCTTCCTTCCTTTCTCCTTCCTTCCTTCCTTCCTTTCTCCCTCCTTCCTTCCTTCCTTTCTCCTTCCTTCTTTCCTTTCTTTCTCCTTCCTTCCTTCCTTTCTCCTTCCTTCTTTCCTTTCTTTCTCCTTCCTTCCTTCCTTCCTTTCTTTCTCCTCCCTTCTTTCCTTTCTTTCTCCTTCCTTCCTTCCTTCCTTCCTTTCTCCTTCCTTCCTTCCTTCCTTCCTTCCTTCCTTTCTCCTTTCTTCTTTTGTTTCTTTCTCCTTCCTTCCTTCCTTCCTTTCTCCTTCCTTCCTTCCTTCCTTTCTCCTTCCTTCCTTCCTTCCTTTATCCTTCCTTCCTTTGTTCCTTCCTTTGTTCCTTCCTTTGTTCCTTCGTTCGTTCATTTGTTCCTTCCTTCCTTCCTTTGCTACCCCTCATGAGTGAGGACATGCAGTTTTTCTTTCTGTGCCTGTCTTATTTCACTTAACATTATTTTCTCCAAGTTCATCCACGTTGCTGTGAATGGTAGAATTTCATTCCTTTTTATGGCAGAGTAGTCTTCCATTGTGTGTATATACCACATTTTCCTTTTCTAGTTGTCCTTTAATGGA